TCGATTATCTGGCAGAAAACAGCATGATTTGGAAGAATGTGCAAAAATTTGCTATTTGAAGTAATGATTAGTAGTGATTATACGGCGTTTTGGAAAATTCGGCGCCCCCTTCCCCTAAAGCCATCGGATATTTGATGATCTACTGTACGTGACCTTTAACTTCCCCGGGAAGAATTACAGATTTACTCAGACAGACACCTCAGCAAGAGGATGATCCTGCGAAAGGCAGGAAAGGTGACAACTCTAGCTTTAAATTGGACAATCTGGATTTGATCCTATTGGGTTATATTTTGATATAGATTTTCTTTTCTTTCATTTGTTTTGTACCTGGTTTAATCTATGATTGTTTATGCTGGGTTTTTAATCCACCCTTGATTCATCTGGACTTTGTTAATTTGTATATGGCATTGTTATATCTGATACATCTCGGAAAACATACAGATTTAAATAAATTTGACTTCACTCAATTCGCTGGTGCAGGGTTTATAGTCGGACTATAATCACTGTGGTTGCCACGATACAGCACGAGTTTACTATCTAGTGGTGAAGCATAAAAGCAGATTGAGTGAAAAGTCATCGCATGGTGATGTCAAATTCAGTCACAAAATCTGAAGTCATCTGATCAGAAGATTTATTAGTCATAATCGGATCACCAGATTGGAACGTACAAACAACTTAAATTTGGAAACGTGATAATCGCTATCAAGTAATGAGTGGCTACAAAAAGTTGCGTTTTAAGGGTTAATTTAAATGTATCACTAACCGCGAAATTAGCGATACAAATATTCAACTAAGTAGTGCTTTTAGTCAAAAAGACTGAGTGAGATGCAAATCATCAAACGTGATAATGACTACGATTACTGACCACAAAGATAAACATAAAGATCCCCCATATAGGCTTGAGAGACTGTTGAGGGAGTGCTATTAGCGAATAGCACCTGTGACGGCCAGAACGACACATGAGGGGTGTGGGTGGCAAGCACCACGCCCGGCCGCTTTTGTCTCACACCCATCCAGACACCCATCCATCAGATTCACCATGGAAGTGGAGAAAGATGGCAAACTACCATTCTTAGATATTCTGTTTGAGAGGAGACCTGATAGATCCTTGGAGCATTCTGTCTACAGGAAAGCCACCCACACAGATTCCTACTTGAATCCTGATTCCCACCACCACCCGTCTCAACATAATGATCTCATCATAAAACTATACCACAGAGCTCATGGCATTTCTGACCAACACCACCTGGCCAGTGAATTAAGACATGTACATCGGGCCCTCAGGATAAACGGATACTCTGACCGCACCATCCGCCAAGCTGTTTCTCCCACCATACAGGAACAGCCACATGAAACTCCGATCAAAACTATCACGTTGCCATACATAGCAGGCGTGACCAAAATATCTCCAAAATTCTAGACAAACGTAAGAGCCAAGTCCGATTTAGTACAGTACATATAATCCGTGATTTAATTCCATCTGTGAAGGATGTCATTCCTGACTTTTAATACCCTGGAGTCTATAAACTGAGTTGCAGCTGTGATGATTGTTACATTGGGGAAACGAAACGTCATATCTCTGATCGTGTCCGCGAGCACAAGTCAGATCTGAAACACGGCAAAATTGAGTCTTCCGCCATTGCCGATCATTGCTACAATGCTGTGCGTTCCTATGAGATTGTTTTTTCCGAGACCAAGGTGCTCTGCAAACCTTCTGGCTACCATCAAAGGTTTGTACACGAAGCCATCCAGATATACAAACACAGACATAACTTCAACCGTGATGATGGATACAAACTGAGTAATTATTGGAAAGATGTTATTAACCATACAAAAAAAAATGTAACTACACATATTTCGACCATCTTATTTGACAGGTACTATTCTACTTTACCGAGTGTTGACATCCCCAGCGTTTAACAGCACTCTCCTCTCCTTTTTTGAATTTGGATTGTCAACCAATATCGGGTAAAAACATCAACAAGATGCACCTACTGTTCTCTTTTAGCCCCGCCCACCTCCCCCTAACACGTTCCACTCATTGGCGTCCACATTCAGATAATCCCCTTCCCCTTCCCTCCCCCCTTAAACTTGTATTTAAGAGCTTGACTCTTGGAATTTTTGCCTCACTTGGGACAGTAAATCTAGCTGTGACGGTCCCACCTGATGATGGAGACTTGTGTTGCCTCTGAAACGTCGTGATTTATTATTGTATTTCTATTATTATTTCTATTATTTTTTATTTTTTACCTACTTGACTTTACCGAAAAACCTAAGAGTTTAGAACTTCACTTTGTAGCCAATCCACCAGCGTTAGAACTTCCTTTCGTAGCCACTCCACCAGTGTTAGAACTCCCCTTTATTGTCAGTCCTCCACTTTTGCAGGCAATCACTTTCAGTTATGAATGCCCCCAGTTCTGCGGCTCCACGCTCTAACTGCTCCTAGTGTTGTAATGAGGAGCAGCAGCAGGAAGAGTTGGAGGAGGAGCTGGTGGAGGTGAGACATGCTTTCTAGAGAGAGAGGGTGGAGAGAGAGGGAATAGAGAAATGATGGACCGAGAGAGGGTGGAGATAGAGGTGGAGAGCATCTTCCGCGCTCTAGTCGGAGCCAGGGTGTGGCTGGAGTTCCGCCATGCGCGGCTGACCCACGCCGTGCCAGCCTTCAAGGAGCAGTGGGCGATGGAGGAGGCCGTGTGCTCGGTGACAGATGACGGGGAGCTCTGCATGCTGATATGAGCTACCCGTTGGAGGCCGTCGGACTGCGAGAAGGGCTGCGTGCAGAACGAGACAAGAGAGTGAGTGAGAGAGTGAGCGGGAGGTGGGGGTTTTACATAAAGCTAAGTTTAAAAAAAACAGGAACGGAGAGGGGGAGAGGGGTAGGGGAGAAAGAAGGAAAGATAGAGGGAAGAGAGGGGAGAGAGAGGGAGAAATAGAGGAGGGGAGGAGAGGGGGGAGAGAGAGGGGAGAGATATAGAGTGCAAATAGAGGAAGGGGACACAGGGGTAGAGATGAAAGGGTGTAGAGATAGAGGGGGGTGGAGAGAGAAAGGAGGGGGTAGAGTGGAGAGAGAAGGAGCGAGAAAGAAGGTGGCATTACAATCCTGCACCACCGAGGAGGTAAGGGGTTGATTTTACCAGAAAATACAAATATACATACCTGTAATGACAGTAGAGTCTACATGCGGTGTGAGTGGACTAGTGACCACGGGAGGTATTGACAGGGGAATCAGCCTACAGTGCGAATACACTAGTGGCCACGGGAGGTAATGACAGGGGTGTCAGCTGTGAGTGCAAAGGGACTAGTGGCTCCGGGAATACATAATCGAGAAGGGAGCGCGGTCAGGGGACGGAAGAGGACTGTAGAATCTGCTGGTAGAGCGAGGGTCCAGAGTCGGCGAGAAGTTTCGGGGAGGGGGGCATGGCTTCGGTCCGTATATGAGGGAGATGTGCGGGAGACTCGAGGCTGTGGCGGTGGGGGTCTCCGCCTGTTTAAAGTGAACATGTCTTCAATGAAGTGTCATCTCAAGAGAAGTGTGTCTAGTTGTCTTAACATACACACACATACACACACACATTCATACACACACATACATACACATACACACATACACACACAAATACACACACACACACAACTACACACACATATACACACATACACACACACACATACTTACACACATACACACACATACACGCTCACATACACACATACACACACATACACGCACATAAACACATACACACACATGCATACTTACACACATACACACAAATACATACACATGCACACTTACACACATACACACAGACATACACACACAGGCACTTCAACCCTCCCTACCTTTTACAGAGCTCCCCAACCCACTGTGATTCTTTTAAAGCAATAAAACTGGAGTTCACTGTTAACTTCAGAAGCTACCTGGCGATCACAGATGATAGCTCAACGACATTGGATTATCATCCTTATCATCACGTGGAATTTTAAAGCAGCCAAATCCTCTAAACAACGCGATGTTCATTCTGAATGTGGGAAAAAAAAACGCAGGACCAGAAAAAAAATCCACGCGACCACGTGGAAAGAGATACAGAGACACGCAAACTCCAAATATTCAGCAGGCGTCTACAGGATGGGGATCGAACTCAGGACCTCCTGTATACCAGATGAGTTATTTAACATCTCCTAGCCACCGTTGTGTTAGGATTGTTATCGGACACGCGACCTCCTGTATACCAGGCGAGGTAGTTGACATCTCCTAACCACCGTGGCACCCACTGTGTAAGTCAGAGTGCTGAGGTCATGGGTTCAAAGTACGTTTGTTAAAATCCATAATTCCCTCCCCCAACCTCTATACCCAAGGCAATGCGAATGGGTTCATCCCAGTTGAGTCTCTGAATAGCAGGTCACGTGATGGTAGTGGCGAAAAGTGGATAAAAGAGGAACGGTATTGCAGCGGTTAGCACTACACTGCGCTAGGAATCCGGCTACAACCCGAGTTTGATTCCTGCTCACGGCCACTAACACCAGTGACAATTATCACTAACCGGTCCTGAGCCTCAACCCGTAGATATACTCAGCCTCAAATGAGTACCTGGTACGTTGTGTAGTAAACATCACCACTGGTGAGACAAAGGTGGCGGGCGTGGTTGCTGACCACCCACCCCCTCGGGTGCCACAGTACTGACCTTCATATGTGCTGCTTCTCGTTACTAACATCACTTGCCACAACTGTCTATTTTCGGCTATATGGGGATCTTCGCTTTTGTGTGTCAGTTGAGGTGCTCCTCGCTAACAGCACTTATCCCAACGGCCTGTTACAGGCTATACGGGGGATCTTTGCCTTAGTATGTGAGTGGGTCAGAGTGGGTCAGTGGACTCTGCACTGCGCTACAAACCCTGCGAAACCACAGCTCCACCCCCCCACCGCCACCCCATGCACCGCCCACTCTGATTCTTAAGCAGCAACGCAAACGGGAGTTCACCCACAGACTCACCCAACCCCTGAGCTGTGAGGCACCGTGGCCTGTGTCGCGTCGGCGAGGTCTCCATCCGCTCTGGGCTCTCAGTTTGCCGACCTCGGTGGTGGGGGGGAGTTTGGCATCGCATCGCGCCACCGTTGAGCCACAAGGCGGAGGCTGTGGGATCTCAAGGGTCGGGGTTGGTTCGTCGTCTGCGTTAAGGTGGGTTCATTCTTGTTCAGATGTTCATCCGTGTCGGGGCGTTCACCAGCGTCCGTTTGTTCAACCGCGTTCAGGTTGTTCTTCCGTGTCAATTCATCATTCGTGTCCGGTGTTCATCTGTGTGAGGTGTTCATCCGCGTTAAGGTGGTTCATGCGTGTTTAGGTTGTTAATGCGTGTCAGGTGTTCATCTGTGGTCTGGTGTTCATCCACGCCCAGCTATTTATCTGCATCTAGGTTGTGTTGATCAGAACGGGTCACTTACTTGACATACAGCGAAATAACTTCTCTTTGTGTGTCAGTGTGAGTGTATTTATCAGGTGAGTGACACGGTTTGCTATGTATGGTGCTAAAGAAGTTCAACATAAATGCATATATAGACTCACACAGAGACCTGTACTCACACAGAGAACCACAAACTAACAGAGACCCACAGACTCACATAGAGAACCACAAACTCACGCAGAGACCCCGCAGACTCACATAGAGACCCACAGACTCACACAGAGACCCACAGACTCACGCAGAGACCCCGCAGACTCACATAGAGAACCACAGACTCACACAGAGACCACACAGACACCCACAGACTCACACAGAGACCCACAGACTCACGCAGAGACCCCGCAGACTCACATAGAGAACCACAAACTCACACATAGACCCACAGACTCACACAGAGACCCCACAGACTCACACAGAGATCCCACAGACTCATACAGAGACCCACAGACTCACACAGAGGCCCCTCAGACTCACACAGAGACCCCACAGACTCACACAGAGATCCCACAGACTCACACAGAGACCCCACAGACACCCACAGACTCACATAGAGACTCACAGTTGGTTGTGTTTCACCCGCACCTTTGATTATAAGCACGGTTGGCTATGTATGGTGCGGAAGAAGTTCAAAATAAACGCGTGGAATGTGCGTGAGTGTGTCAAGAGTGACTAGTGGGCACGCATTAGAGCGCACACTGCTCTACGAAGCCGGCGACCCGAGTTCAATTCCCACTCACGGTCACCGACACCAGTGACGATTATTTTCACTGGTCTTGGGCCTACCGTGCTCATCGGAGGTGTTGTGGAAGGATGAGAAACTATGGGTCTCTATGTGAGTCTAAGGGTCTTTGTGTGACGAGTCTACGGGTCTCTGTGTGATGAGTCTACGGGTCTCTATGTGAGTCTATGGGTCTCTGTGTGACGAGTCTATGGGTCTCTATGTGAGTCTACGGGTCTCTGTGTGACGAGTCTACGGGTCTCTGTGTGACGAGTCTATGGGTCTCTATGTGAGTCTACGGGTCTCTGTGTGACGAGTCTACGGGTCTCTGTGTGAGTCTACGGGTCTCTGTGTGATGAGTTTACGGGTCTCTATGTGAGTCTACGGGTCTCTGTGTGACGAGTCTACGGGTCTCTATGTGAGTCTACGGGTCTCTGTGTGACGAGTCTATGGGTCTCTATGTGAGTCTACGGGTCTCTGTGTGATGAGTTTACGGGTCTCTGTGTGATGAGTCTATGGGTCTCTATGTGAGTCTATGGGTCTCTGTGTGATGAGTCTACGGGTCTCTGTGTGATGAGTATACGGTATCTATGTGAGTCTATGGGTCTCTGTGTGAGTCTATGGTTCTCTGTCCGAGTCTATATGATCTTTATGTTGAACTTCTTTCACACTGTACGTAGCCAACAATACTAATTGGAGGTAAGGGGGAAGTACAACAAACTATAGGTGTCTGTGTGAGTCTATGGGTCACTGTGAGAATCTACGAGCACCTGTGTGATGAGTCTATGGGTCTCTATGTGAGTCTACGGGTCTCTGTGGGATGAGTCTATGGGTCTCTATGTGAGTCTATGGGTCTCTGTGTGATGAGTCTATGGGTCTCTATGTGAGTCTATGGGTCTCTGTGTGATGAGTCTATGGGTTTCTGTGTGATGAGTCTATGGGTCTCTGTGTGATGAGTCTATGGGTCTCTGTGTGGTGAGTCTATGGGTCTCTATGTGAGTCTACGGGTCTCTGTGGGATGAGTCTATGGGTTTCTGTGCGAGTCTATGGGTCTCTGTGTGATGAGTCTATGGGTCTCTATGTGAGTCTATGGGTCTCTGTGTGATGAGTCTATGGGTCTCTGTGTGATGAGTCTATGGGTCTCTGTGTGATCAGTCTATGGGTCTCTGTGTGATGAGTCTACGGGTCTCTGTGTGATGAGTCTACGGTATCTATGTGAGTCTACGGGTCTCTGTGTGATGAATCTACGGTAATTATGTGAGTCTACGGGTCTCTGTGTGATGAGTCTATGGGTCTCTGTGCGAATCTATGGGTCTCTGTGTGATGAGTCAATGGGCCTCTGTGTGAGTCTATGGGTCTCTGTGTGATGAGTCTATGGGTCTCTGTGTGATGAGTCTACGGGTCTCTGTGTGATGAGTCTACGGTATCTATGTGAGTCTACGGGTCTCTGTGTGATGAATCTACGGTAACTATGTGAGTCTACGGGTCTCTGTGTGATGAGTCTATGGGTCTCTGTGCGAATCTATGGGTCTCTGTGTGATGAGTCTATGGGCCTCTGTGTGAGTCTATGGGTCTCTGTGCGAGTCTATGGGTCTCTGTGTCTATGAGTATATGGGTCTCTGTGTGATGAGTCTGTGGGTCTCTGTGCGAATCTATGGGTCTCTGTGTGATGAGTCTATGGGCCTCTGTGTGAGTCTACGGGTCTCTGTGCGAGTCTATGATGGGGTCCCATTCACCGCCGAAACTCGGAACACACGTGGGTGGCTCAGCATTTACTTTATTTACAGAGAAGCGTAGTTAAAGCTGCGCCGTTGTTTTTCATGAAGACGTCTTTATTCACCACGCCACTCTCCGATAGTTGACGCAAAAAACTCTGCCAAATAAGCATGGCAGTGGGAGCCAATGTACCGATAGTTCTTTAATTTGAGCTTTGTTTCCCGTTTCGTATGTGGTATACACGTAGCGTCAACAGAATGTACCATTCAGACGCTGTCTTCTCGACAGACCTGTTCTTCACCTGAGGACGGCTGCTTGCGTTGTGGCCGAAACGTTGTGAGAATTATTTTATTATGTTTTATTTTTATTATTTTATTACTTCCCTTCTACGTGACTTTACCGAAAGAACCAAGAAGAAGAATGTACCATGTGCATCATCGGAACGGAACAAGAAGAAAAACTGAAGACGTACACATAGGTATACGTAATCCGAACAGGAAGATTTTTATTTGGCTAAATAACAGTTTGGACTGCCAGCTAACAAAGGTTCCTCTCACGTGGCCGAGTGGGTGAGAATGTGCTGCCCCTTACTGTGAGCTTGAACATACGATATCACCCACACTTCAAAGCCAAAGATCCCCCGTGTAGCCTTAACAGACTGCTTGGCCAAGTGCTGCTAGAAAGTAGCAGCACCAATGGATGCGGGAATAGCATGCGAGCGGGGTGGTGACCAGTACCACGCACGGCCGCTTCTGTCTCCCCAGTTGCAATGTTTTTACACACCACACCATGTAATAATTTGCGGCTTCGTGGACCTAGTGGAGCAGATTCCAGGACCAGTTCAGATGACCGTCATTGGTTTTGACCGTGAGCGGAAATGTAACCTGGGTTCGTAGCGCCATGCACTGCCGCTCCCCCACACACAAATACACACACAAGTGTGTGGGCAAGCACGCCGAGATTGAAACTGCGAGTTCGCGTTTTAAGTTAATGTAAAAAATATATTTCAAAGAAAGCTGGTTCGTAAGTGCGGGTGTTTGTAAGTTGGATATTCGTAAGTCGAGGACTGTCTGTCGCACAAGGGGCTTCTATTAGCAGTGTGTAGCTCTACAGAATATCACTGATGAGCACCAATTTATACGAAACTCTGACTCGAACCCAGGTCTCCTGTGCTTACCAACAAAGTCATTGAGATGAATACCAGGGCAGACGACTCAACCAATGGCTTTCTTTCCTCCTCACCTGCTCCCATCTCTCCCAGCATCCTACTTGCTGTGTTGCAGGGATGGAGAGGCCCAAACTGTTGCCGGTGCATGGAGTCCCCATGCTGGACTTTATAGCGAGGGACTGGAGCCTGGTGGAGTCATTTAAAGCCAGGCCCGGAGATGTCCTGATAGCAACTTACCCCAAGGCGGGTGAGTATTAACAGAAGCAGCAGCACCACCATCAGCATCACCACCAGCTCCATTATCATCATCACCACCCCTGCTGCCACCATATTCAATACCTTCATAATCATCACCACAATCGCGATGACCATCGTAATAATCTTCATCACCATCATCAGAATTAATACGATCATCATTATTATAATTACCACCACTGTCTTAATACGGTACTCATTATAATTGCTAACACCTGCATCATAATCATCATCACCACCTCCACCTTCATCATAATGACCATCTTCATTACGACCACTGCTACCACCATTATCTTCATCACTATCATCACCACTACGACATTTATAATATAATCATCCTAACCACCACCGCCACCGCCACCTTTATCACCATCATTACCACTGCTTCGACACTCATAACCATGATAACCAACAATATTATCACCGCCACCTTCATCACCAACACCACCACCACCACCACCTTCATCACCACTTCTACCATCGTCAACACCAACTGCCATTCGCCACGAAGTGGAGGTGACGTCACCATGGCGCTTGTGCCAGGCTATGTGCACGTTAAGGCCACGTGAAGTGTCGATTGCCCACTGGCAGGAGGTTACAGGACAGACCCAGCAGGTGCCGTGGGTTGGCTGACTGAGATGACTGGCCGATGCACCACCTGTGCCCCTTACTGTGCCAAGTTGATAGGGTTTAGTATTTGCTGGCACAAAATACCCAGGTAGGTGATTACTTTTGTTGGTGCTGATGGTAAGGTCCTACTTCTTAGTGGCACGCTCCAATTCGAACAGCAGCATCTACAACTCCTCCTCTTGGTGAGCCGCAATCACCAAATCATCGGCATACTTAACATGGTTGATCAATAGGGAGCTATTCATTGATCACCAAGACTACCACATTCATCATCATAACTCCCACCCTAACAACCACCACCTTAAATCACCACCACTGCTAACACCGTCATCACCATCATCACTACTACTGCGACATTCATAATGATCAAAACCACCACCATCATCACCACTACACACCACCTTCATCACCAACATTGCTTTCATCATCATCATCAACAGCACTACTACCAAATTCATAATTATTATGACCAACATCTTCATTACCACCATCTTCATTACCATCACTGCTACCATCATGATCAACATCACGACTCCCACATTCATAACACTATGTAACACAATTTTTGTTCATGGGTAGTAAGTGTTATTTCGTAATTGCTTATGCCTAAAAAGTATAGAAAATGGCTATTATTCCCCACAAACTTTGCTTTTGTGACCAGGACATTGATATTTTGAAATTTACCTATTTTCAATGGGAAAACGGGCAAATGTATGTCTTTTCGTTCACATAAAGTCAGAAAAAAAACATACAAATCACAATTAACTTGTGTTTATACTAAAGTAACACAAAAATTACTACAAAGATTTAGAAGTGAGTTGTTTTTCGAGATTAATTATTAGACTGTAAATCACTTTCACGAATCAGCCCCCAAATATAGTCTCCCAGCATGTTCTTGTTATACTGTCCTTGGTAGCGGCGTTCAAAATTCCAGTATATCCTGGTGGAAGTGCTCGACTGAGTACGCTCCCATGTTCTCCTTGAATGTATCAAGATGAGCATCAAGGATATGGACTTTGACAGACATCCTACAGCCCATTGTGCCGTAGTTCTTCATCAGTCTCAACCAGTTCCACGTAGTTTTTTACTTTTTGATTGCCCAGGAAACCACGAAGCACTGCGACAAAGCTGTTCCAAGCCGCTTTCTTCTTACTAGTGAGCTTCTTGGGGAATTCATTGCACTCCATGATCTTTTATATCTGTGGTCTGATGAAGACACTGGCTTTGACCTTTGCCTCAGACAATTTAGGGAAGAAGTCTTGAAGGTACTTGAAGGCTGCCGACTCCTTATCTACAGCTCTGACACATTGTTTCATAAGTCCAAATTTGATGTGCAGTGGTGATATCAGCACCTTCCGGTGGTCCACCAGTGGCTTCCACTTGATGTTGTTCCTCCCCACAGAGAACTCGGTCCGCTGTGGCCAGTCCCGCCTGTGGTAGTGCGCCTTGGTGTCTAAATCTTTGTAGTAATTTTTGTATTACTTTAGTAATAATACATGTTAATTTTGATTCATATATTGTTTTTTTCTGACTTCATGTGAACGAAAAGACACAAAATTGCCCGTTTACTCATTGAAAATAGGTACATTTCAAAATATCACTGTCCTGGTAACAAAAGCAAAGTTTGTGGGAAATAATAGCCATTTTCTGTACTTTTAAGGCATAAGCAATTACGAAATTATACTTACTACCCAGGAACAAAATGATAAAAATGTATTACACAGTGTATTCATCACCACCTTCATCTTGGCCCCCCTCCCCCCACCCCTCTAACTCTCTGAGGCACCACGTGGACCCAGGAGATCGTGGATCTGATTCAGAGCGGAGTGGACGTGGAACACTGCAAACGTGTCCCCGTGTACGAGAGGATCGTCTTCATGGAGTGGACGGGCATAAATTTCGTGATGCATCGCAAAGGTGATGGCAGCAGTGGACTCAAGTCAACTATTGAATGTTTTACTTTTACCAGGTGTAAGTCCCCAATTGAGCTACGCATCTCTTTTTCAGTTGCGACCTGACCCACAGAGACCCATACTCATAGAGACCCACAGAGACCTATACTCATAGAGACCCACAGAGACCCATACTCATAGAGACCCACAGCGACCCATATTCATAGATAACTGTACTCAAAGACTCACAGAGGCTCAGAGACTCATCCGCATAGACCCAATCTCATAGAGAGACACTCAGACACCCACAGACCCATACTGCGAGACCCATACTCATACAGACCCACAGAGACCCATGCTCATAGAGACCCACGGAGACCATACTCATAGAGACCCACAGAGACCCCTACTCATAGAAAACCCGTACTCGGAGACTCACAGAGACCTAAAGACTCATTCTCATATACACAATCTCATAAAAAAAACATACTCAGACCCACAGATCCATACTTAGTGACCCATACTCCTTGACCCATACTCATGGAGACCCACAGCGACCCACAGAAACCCATACTCATAGAGACCCACAGAGACCCATAATCATAGAGACCCAGAGACCCATACTCATAGATACCCACCGAGACCCCTACTCATAGAGACCCAGAGAGACCCATACTCATAGATACCCACAGAGACCCCTACTCATAGAGACCCACAGAGACCCATACTCATAGAAAACCGTACTCATAGACTCACATAGGCTCAGAGACTCATCCGCAAAGACCCACTGTCAAAGCTAAGCACTCAGACACCCACAGTCCCATACTGAGAGACCCATACTGCGAGACCCATGCTCATCTGAGACCCACAGCGACCCACAGAAACCCATACTCATAGAGACCCACAGAGACCCATAATCATAGAGACCCATACTAAAACTAAACTCTTTTTTACTTTACTGGGTAAGGCCCCACTGAGCTATGCAGCTCATTTTCATCAATTTATTCAAAATAAACTTCTACTACATCATTACCACGTGGAAAATGATTGCAGTCAAAAGAAAGAGAATTGCTGATTCATAATAATGGTGCTTTTTGGGTAGATCACATAAATTTGTCGTTATTGATAATGCGTGGTCTTGGGTGGCACAATAGTTAGGAGATGTTAACTACCTCGCCTGGTATACACGAGCTGGTGGGTTCGATCCCGACCCTGACAATGCCCTGCTCTATATTTGCAGTTTTTATTTTCCCACTTCGTTGAGCTAACAATAATGATAGCCGTGCCGCTTTCAAAAATAACAATATACAGCTCAGTGGGGCTTTCCTGGTAATATAATAAAAGGTTTATCTTAGAATGACCTCTGTATATGGGTCTCTGTGCGAGTTTTCGGTAAGATGAAAAAGACTTAGTTTGTATTTGTTTAATTTTTAGGTGATTTGTTTACCTTTCTTAAACATTACACTCATGTAGTGTTTGTGAATTGTGTTTGTTCTTGTAACGTTTTGAACCCGTGCCCCTAGTGGACATCTGTGAAACAGAGCTTTAGAACTCATCGGATTCTTCTTCCTCCAGTTTCACCCCTCCACATTTAGAATGAACATCACGCGTTTAGAGTTATTCGGCTGCTGCTATAAATTTCCACGTGATAATGATGATGATAGTCCTCCACTTTGTTGAGCTATCATTTGTGATGACCAGGTCGCTTTTGAAATTAAAAGAGCCACTATATCGCAGCTCAGTGGGGGCCTTACATCTGGTAAAATAAATAAAAGTTTAGTTTAAATATGCTGATTGTGATTGTGATGTTACTGATCGCGTGGCTCCAGGAGTGGAGGTGCTGAATGATATGCCGTCTCCTCGCACGATTAAGACTCACCTGCCCTACCAGCTGATGCCTTCCTCATTTTGGGACAACGATTGCAAGGTGGACCACCATCACCATCATCACCACCATCACCATCATCACCACCATCACCACCATCACCACCATCACCACCACCACACTTAGTCTCTTGCTTGATTTTGCAGGCTCACCTTCATTGGCATCACTATTATGCTTTTGGTTAGCCAGGTCACCTCCGTGTATATTGTTGGTTCAAGTCTATCGAGATAAATCGAGGCGATTCAATAGGGTTGGTCTCTCTTTAATGTTTAGACAAGCCACCCTGCCAGTTTTCACGCAGTAGTGGATCTCGAGAACACCTCGGTGGTGCACTTAAAATGTGTTACAGGAGGACCCCTTCATCAGAACACTCACACCTAAGCCTACGTGTTCTAGAACACATTCAAACACCCTTATGGCACTTCAAGTCTTTGATGGCGTTTTCCACCCGCTTTGGGCTGCATTCACAAGCAACCTGAATCCAGGGTGAAACTCGAACCCGCGGGTCGTGGACCACCACATTGATGGAATCTCGTCTTCCACCTGTTCCAAACACAATATTCCAACTTACTGCACATATTTATAATTGTAATAACTCTGTGCACGTAGTTTTATCTCTCCTCCCTGCCTCCCAGAAAACTGCTTTTCCACAACCCCCTTCCCCTATACAGGTGGACCATAGCCTCCCAATTATTTTTCTCTTGGGAGTTATTTGTACCACGTGACAACTTCCATCATCACCACCATCATCACCACCATCACCAATAGCAATAACCGCCGAACGCCACTAAGTGACGGTGACGTCACCACGGCGACTGTTCCAGACCTGGTGCACTATGAGACCACGTGACTTGTCGAAGGCTCGCTGACCGGAGGTGATGGGACAGACCCAGTAGGTGCCATGGGTTGACTGACTGAGATGACCAGCAAATGCATCAGCTTTGCACCCTATTGTGTCAACTTGCAGCGTTTTAGCGGCTCGGTGCTCCACCCGTTGTTGTGAGCGTCGCTCTGCTGACCTCAGTTGTTGTTAGAGGATTACTGCATCCAACTACCCCGGAGCGTCTGCTCCATAGAGGCGGATCTTGACACTGCTGGTACCAGTCTTCTGTAATTCTACTCGGCTCCATATCCTCCCGTTTTGCATCAGTCCATCTCTCCACCAGCCCGTGTCATGCCCGTTGTTCACCCTCTATGCATCCAAATAGAAGCTGCTTGGGCCTGTGGTATCTGGGCATGCGGGCTACGTAACCCAGCCGACGCAGCCTTGCCTGCCAGAGGAGCTCACTGATGGGAATGTGTCCAGATCTTTCAAGGATTTGTGAGCTTCTCACACAATCCAGCCTGATTAAACCCAGGATGGATCGCAGGTAGAACAGCCTGAATGGTTTTAACTGGCACAGATGTTCCATTAAAGGGGTCCACGTTTCACATGCATAGAGAAGAGAGGACATGATTGTGGCCGAGAAGACCTGAACCTTCGTGTGGAATGACAGACCAGGTAGCTTCTACACAGCATTACACAGCCGATTAAAATATAAAGCCACCCAACTTATTCAGAGGGAGAACCCTGCTGTCAAACCGGAGCTGGTCTATAGCACACATTCCCAGGTATGGGAAACGTTTCACTCTCTTCACAACTGCTCCATCACCAATGGCGAGTTGAGGTGGTGGAGTATTTGATGTCACAAAACACCTAGGCTGGTGCTATGTTTTTGTGGGGATGATGGTAAAGGCTATACTTAGTGACACGCTTCAGGTTCAGCAGGAGCACCTCCAACTCCTCCTCTGGGTGAACAACAATCACCAAATCATCAGCATACGTAACATAATTAACCAATAGGGAGCCATCCCTCGGCCGCACGCAGGCATCGATCAACATTCCGTTGTATCTGTGCCAGATGTAAATTCCTCAGGTATAGCCACGGAAATCTTCTCGATCTACGTGTAGCTTCACTCGTGCCTGTCCATCATTATGAAGACCCTTAATTATCATGAGCAATCATTAACAGCCCAGAGGCCTGTCCTGGTGAAGGTATCATAGGCCTTGACCAGGTCAATAAAGCAGATATGTAGGTCTTGCTGCAATTTCCTACACCTCTGCTGTAGCAGACGGACAGAGAATATGGCGTCCGTGCAGGACCGCCCAGGTCTGAATCCACATTGTGGCTCCGCAAGCCTCTCCTCAGAATGCCTGGCAAGGCGATGTTGAATAATGCTTGCCAGGACATTTCCCGGCACACTGAGAAGAGAGATGCCCCAAAAGTTGTTACACCAGGGCATCCATCCAATCCTGCAGAACCCGTCCTGTGGTCTAGACAGTTGTGATGATGTCATGTAGGGCAGTCTGCACAAAAATGGCACCCCCCCTTAGCATTTCTCTTGGGAGATCGTTTCTGCATGACGCGTTTCCTGGTATCAAACTTCGGATCTCCCCTCGCACTTTCTCCACAGATGGCACCTCAGCCAACCATTCAGAAGGGGTAGCTGCATCTGCCAATATTTGAGGCATTGCAACCCTAGCAAGGTCATCCCCACCTTGCCCAACGATGTTGTCTGGGCTGAGGGAATTACTCTTCACCAAGACTTCACAAAAATTATATGCAAGCCTGTGAGATCACAGTTATTTCCCTTAAAGATGGTTATAGATGCTGTGCTGCAAGTTAATTTATTGATGTAATGATATAGCGATTTGTAATTACAGGATACTGAGGCAGATTTAATTTCCTCAGCAACCCACACCCACCATTAATATTGACAATGCTGCACGGTTTTCCAAACCTTCAAGTAAAGGCCGTTGTAAGCCTCCTCATTCTCCAATGTTGGATGTTGCAGACGATGGTCAATGAGCAGATCAGCTCCACGATAGGTCCTGGTGTCAAGGACATGGACCTGCATCTGCTGAGCAGTAATTATATAGTCCAGCAGATGTACTTGCTTGGACCTAGCGTGCATCCATAATGTTGCGTGGATGTGCCGATGCCGGAACAGCGTGTTCGTAATTACAAGCCCATGGGCTGCACAAAAGTCTAGCAGCCTAGTACCGTTATTATTGAGGTTATCTGGCTCATGCCTTCCGGTCACTTAAACCCAGGTGTCTGCGCCAGGACCCACTCGGGCATTAAAGTCAGCAAATAGGATGACTCTATCCTAGGGGGCCAATCTAGCTCGTTCCTGGTACAGGAGGTTATAGAAGGCGTTTGACTCATCGGCCTTGTCTGCATCCCTCCACTGAATTCTAATAATATCTCACCATTTGGGTTCAGATCAAGGGACGGGGGGCATTCCTCCCAATCATGCCTCTCTAGGTATCTCCATCATTTCTCACGTGGGGATTGAAGTCGTCCAGTAGGCCTATGGAGTCGGTAGGTGTCACTCTGTCGAGCACTGCACCCACCATCTCCAAGAAGGCCGAATACTCTGAACTGCGGTTTGGTGAATAAGCACAGACAACAGTCAAAGTTTTCATTTCTTTAACCCGAAGTCCCATTGAGGCGACGCTCTCATCCACTGGGACGAACTCCAACTGAATGGCACCCAGCCGGGGGCTTGTGAGTATCCCCATACCTGCCCGGGGCCTCTCACCAGGGGTTACTCCGGAAAAGTGTTACGTGGGTCCCCCAGCCACCAGGCACTTGCTGGTGAGCATCATCCCCAGGCCTGGTTTTAGGGGAATGTCCATGTATACCTTGTCCGGCGAGGTTCTCCAATTTTTTTTATTTCTGAACCATTCAAAGGAGTTTTTTTCGGACCTATATTTGTCTGAAACCTCCCCCCAGATCTCTTCGCCAAGGGAAACTTTACCAGGAGTACACGACTCCAGGCGACATCGCTCTGAGGGTCATTGGAACACACAAACGCCACCAGCAGTAGGAGGTCACGATCCTTCACTGGGGGCGGGGCGAGGGCTTGCCTGGTAAAAAAGAAAATGCAGTTTTAGTTTAGTGTCTCCCTGTGCCACTCTCCCCAACCCCTACATCTGCTGTCTCCTCCCCAGGTGATCTACATCGCACGTAACGCCAAGGACAACGCCGTATCCGCCTTCCACTTTAACCGAATGAACAAGTTGCATCCGGAGCCCGGCACCTGGGAGGAATACCTGCATCGTTTCATGACCGGCAATGGTGAAGGCACCTAGGTTATTGCAACCACTTTTATACCGGTAGTGAGGAACCAAATTCATTTCACGTGGCCTGCAACTTAATTTCAACATGAACACACATAGGTACAAAGACAAAGATTCCCTGTTTAGCCTTAACAAACCGTTATGGCAAGTGCTGTTAGCGAGCAGCACCTATAGAAGCCGGCACAACACAAGAATGGGTGGGTGGCCAGCACCACGCCCGACCGCCTTTGTTTCCCTAGTGACGAAGATTACATACCGCACCAGGTACTCATTTGAGGCTGAGTTGACCTCGGAGAGGCCCAAGACCAGTTCAGATAATCGTTACTGGTGTTGGCCGTGAGGGGAAGTAGAAACATTGCAATCACGATTAATTTGCTTAAAAGTTGAAAACTCAGTAAAAAAGAAAAATTAGTCTGCAAGAGAGCTGTTTCCACTGCTAATATAGAAAACATAATGGAAACAAAGCCCAGCGGAGGTCTAAACGCTCATAAATGGGCATCACTCATTTTCTGTGGGCAGGGCTCAGTCTCCACTTACGAGCGCTTGGATTGGCCGAAATTGGCGCCCGCTTGCACAACTGCATAACGTAAACATATACCTTTCAATAAACATTTTAACGTTGGTAGAAACCATGGGGGTTCTATGCGAGGGCGATACATTAATCTCAAAAACCGTTAACGGATGTCACACTATTAACCGAGGGACTACTGGACAAGTCAAATGCTTTAGAGTCCTGACCAGCCACGTGACCTAGACGTGCCAACACGGTCGCTCCACCTCCTCCTTCCCACAGTGTGCTGGGGCTCGTGGTATGATCATGTGACCGATTGGTGGAACATGAGGGAGCGACACCGGATTCTCTACCTCTTCTTCGAGGACATGAAGGAAGTAAGGTCGCAGAGCAGTCGAGGACATAAGTAGCACGGCTCTCAAACTATAAAACGACTTTTAGAAATATTGATTCTTATCCAAATAAAACATTCAGAGGTCTGAGCGGGAGGGAATTGTTTCGTGGGCTGAACTTGGCTGACATCACAAGCATGAGTTGATGCATGTGTTTATTATGTACACAGTACATAATTAATTCATACTCACAACCGAGTTCGATTTCTGCTCATGGCCAACACCGGTGACGATTAGCTGAACCGGTTCTGGGCTACCCCTATGTCTACTCGGCCTCAAAATGGGTACCTGGCGCAGTGTGTAGTAAACATTGCTACTTGGGGAGACAAAGGCGGGCAGGTGTGGTGCTGTTCACACACCCCCTCGTGAGCCGTACCAGCCTTCATAGGTGCTACTCGCTAACAGCCAATTGCCCCAACATTCTGTTAACCCTCTACAGGGGATGTTTGTCTTTGCTTTTGTATTGTGAGCAGGCCCGGACTGGCGTTAGGGCAGCAGTCCATAGGGCAAATGCCCTGGTGAGGCCGGTCAAGTATGATTAAAGTAAAACAATTAAATTTTCTTATTAAAATATTTAAGTTTAACACATAGGCTTTCGCGACCAATTATAATCATAATAGAGTTTTTTTTGGGTTAGATCGCGTAATGACGTCGTTCTGCTCTGTCTAAGACCAGAAGCAGGTGGATGGCTTCACTATTCTGGAAAATCACCCGATGATGCTGGTTGATGGTATTACCAGCAAAACGCCGTACTCAAATCGTAAATGTTGTGGATTCACTCTTCAACGCACCAGTGGGCTGAAGTAGTAACTATTTGGCGTTTTGTTTACGTGACAAATCCCTTACTGATTGGCCATGTCGGTTGGTGGAGGCTGTAGACACATTTATACTTACACGATCTAACCGGAAAAAAAACTATATTATGAAAATATTTTAAGTACCTCTAATGTTTATTTACGCTCTCAGTTGGCGAGTAAGACCCCGGTAGTATTCGGCATCCACAATTACTTTTCCTCACAGGTGCCCCCACCCATTAGTTATTTTGGACCCATTTTTAAATTGTACTAATGAGGATCGCCATGAACAATTTGGGGCCTGCTGTGTTTCTTTACAAAAAGCCTGAGAATCCGATTTGTTTAGTCCCACAGCCTCGTTACTGATTGTGAGAATAATTCTCCCCCCACTCCCCCTTTCCTCCATTGTGTGTGCTGAGGACCCCATGCGTGAGGTGTCCCGCATTGCTCGCTTTCTGGAGCGGCCACTGTCCGAGCAGCAGCTGCGTGAGGTGGTGAAGCTCACCTCCTTCCCTGTGATGCGTGACAACCCCATGACGAATTACAGCACCTTGCCCACCGACTTCTTGAACCACTCCGTGTCGCCCTTCATGCGCAAGGGTAAAAATCTTAACGTTTTTGAATGTTCAGTCGGACACACGGTGATTTTGATGAAGGTGGTGGTAGGATGGGGATGATCTTCATACCAGCGGTGTCAGGATCGGCCTCTGTGGAGCAGGATGCTCGTGAAGGCCACTCCTGGGTAGTTGCAGGCAGTCACCCTCCAGCAACAATGGAGGGCAGAGTAGCGTGGCTCATTGCAAGGAGCGGAGCACCGGGGGGATAAATTGGCATCGTAGGGGGCACAGGTGGTGCATCTGCCAGTCATTTCAGTCAGTCAACTTATGGCACCTGGGTCTGTCCCGTGACCTCTTCCAAGCTGAGTTTCAACACTTCACATGGATTTAAAGTGCACATAGCCTGACACAAGCATCTGAGTGACATCACCATAATTTAGGAGAGAATGGTGGTAGTTGATGATGATATTAAGACAACCCCAACGAAAAATTACAGCACCATACCTCGGCCAACCGAGTTCGATTCCCACTCACGGCCAACACCGGTGATGATTCTCTGAACCGGCCCAGGGCCTCCTCTAGGTTGACTTAGCCTTGATTTACCGAGTGCAGTGTAAACATCGCCTATGGGGAGGTAAAGGCAGTCGATCATGGTGCTGACCACCCACGCCCTCGTCCGCCTTCATAGGTGCTCATTAACAGAACTTGCCCCAACATTTTATGAAATCTATATGGGGGGTCTTTGTTTTGTCTGTGCAGGGGATGTGGGTGACTGGAGGAATCACTTCTCTGCTGCTCAGCTGGAGGCCTTTGAGCAGGACTACAAAAAGAAAATGGCCACCACTGACCTGCGCCTGAGGGACAGCCTGCCCTGAAGGCCCGCATCTCTCCCTCTGCTCCTGAATGTATCCATTGACTGATTTGGGTTAAAGTAATGATATAATAATACTAATTTCACGTAATATATAGCATCGTTCATGTTGATTTCATCCCACAACGCTGTAAAATAATTATATTCATAATCGCATTTATGGCTAAATCCTATTTAAACTAATTATTAAGTAAAGGAAAAAGACTCAGAAAATAAATAATTAGGGTTGCCGCTCTCTGAGTCATTAATAAAATCAGAACACGTCATGGGGAAGGAGAAGGCAATCTCACAATTCCAAAAGGGGTGAGAAATGCAAGTAAATACCTTTTTTGAGCAGCGTAATATTATTAACATGCAATTGACTCCCAATTTGATCATCGATTATCTGGATGAAAACAGCATGTTATGTAAGAATGTGCAAAAATTCGCTATTTTAAGTAATGATTAGTAGTGATTATTTGGCGTATTTTTTAATCTGGTGCCCCCTTCCCCCCAAGCTGTATGTGACCTTTAACTTCCCTGGGAAGAATTACAGATTTCCTTGGACAGATACCTCAACAAAACTAGAGTGGCAACTCTAGTTTTTCACTGGACAATCTGAATTTGATCCATACGTTTACATTTTTATATTGATTTGATTTTCTTTGATTTGGTGTGCACCTGGTTTAATCTGTGATCGTTTGAGCTGGCTTTTTTCATCTACTCTTGATTCATCTGGGTATGATCTGGACTTTGTTCATTTGTATCTGTTACATCTCGGAAAACACACAGATTTAAATAATGTGGCTTCACTCAACTCACCTGTGCAGCGTTCATATTCAGACGATACTCACTTTGGTTGCTACGAGACAGGATAGCACGAGTTCACTATCTGGTGGTGAAGCATAAAAGCTGATTGAGTGAAAAGTCATCGCATAGTGATGTCAAATTCAGTCACGAATTCTGATTTGTTCTTGTAAAAAGCTTTATTAGTCATAATCAAATCACCAGTTTGGAGCGTACAAATAATATAAATTTATAAACGTGATAATCACTTTTCGATTTAAGAGAATTATTTTATTATGTTTTATTTTTATTATTTTATTATTTCCCTTCTACGTGACTTTACCGAAAGAACCAAGAAGGTGATAATCACTATCAAGTTGTGCGTGGCTACAAAAAGTTGCGTTTTAAGGGTTAATTAATATGTACCACCAACCACGAAATTAGCGATACAAATATTCAACGAAGTAGTGCTTTTAGTCAAAAAGACTGAGTGAGACGCAAATCATCAAACGTGATGATGACTAAGACTACTGTCCACAAAGAGAAATACAAAGATCCTCCATATCGCCTTGAAAGAATGTTGGGGCAAGTACCATTAGCGAGTCGCACCAATGAAGGCCGGAACAGCACACGAGGGGGTGGGTGGGTGGCAAGCACCACGCCCGGCTGCTTTGGTCTCCCCAGTGGCGATGTTAACACATTGCACCAGATACTCATTTGGGGCTGAGTCGACAAAGGGGAGGCCTATAACCGGTTCAGATAATGTTGTTTTCCATGAGCAGGAATCAAAATCAGTTCGCCAGGTTCGTAGCGCAGCATGCAAACCACTGCACTACCGCTCCCCACTACTACTGCCAACACCATCATCATCAAAACATCGTCACCACTACAATATCACTACCACTCCTACCATCATCATCTTTACTATCACTAACATTAACACTAGCATCACCAACATCATTTCCATGTACGTACTGGTGGAATTTTTACCTGGTATAGATACAATGGGAGGCTCATGGATCCCTCTGCATGAGTATATTGGTCTCTGTGTGAGTCTATGGGTCTCTGTGTGAGTCTATGGTTCTCTGTGTAACTGTATGGGTCTTTATGTAAGTCTATGGGTTTCTGTTTGATTTTATGGGATTCCATTTGATTCTATAGATCTCTGCGTGAGAATATGCGCATTGGTGTGATTCTATGGGTCTCTGTGAATGTTGAACTTTTGTTGCACCGTGCGTAAACAACTGTGCTTATCGAAGGTGCGGGGCAAATGACAACAAACTAAACACAAAAAGATGTTATAAATAGATGAGTTTGTCAATCTAGATTATTTAAGTGCATAGCTCAAATGTATTTCTAATATCGGAAGGAATATGTTTCTAGACGGTCACAGGAGTGCATCTGAAAACGCTCGGTGCAGTGACCACCTTTGTTCGATAACTAGCCAAAAGCCGCTGCTTATGCAAGGATATCCAGAGTTTGCTTAATGATTTATGCTCCTTGACGAGATTAGCAAGGTGTTGTGGTTTATTTGTGGCAAGTACTTTGTGCGTGTGTAACAAGTGCGACCTTCAACAACAACAACAACCGCCATTTGCCACTAAGTGCCAGGCTATATACAGTGAGGGAAAAAAGTATTTGATCCCCTGCTGATTTTGTACGTTTGCCCACTGACAAAGAAATGATCAGTCTATAATCTTAATGATAGGACTATTTGAACAGTGAGAGACAGAATAACAACAACAAAAATCCAGAAAAAAGCATCTCAAAAATGTTATAAATTGATTTGCATTTTAATGACGGAAATAAGTATTTGACCTTCTCTCAATCAGAAAGATTTCTGGCTCTCAGGTGTCTTTTATACAGGTAACGAGCTGAGATTAGGAGCACACTCTTAAAGGAAGTGCTCCTAATCTCAGCTTGTTACCTGTATAAAAGACCTGTTCACAGAAGCAATCAATCAATCAGATTCCAATTTCTCCACCATGGCCAAGACCAAAGAGCTCTCCAATGATGTCAGGGACAAGATTGTAGACCTGCACAAGGCTGGAATGGGCCACAAGACCATCGCCAAGCAGCTTGGTGAGAAGGTGACAACAGTTGGTGCGATTATTCGCAAATGGAAGAAACACAAGAACTGTCAATCTCCCTCGGCCTGGGGCTTCATGCAAGATCTCACCTCGTGGAGTTGCAATGATCATGAGAACGGTGAGGAATCAGCCCAGAACTACACGGAAGGATCTTGTCAATGATTTCAAGGCAGCTGTGACCATAGTCACCAAGAAAACAGTTGGTAACACACTACGCCGTAAAGGACTGAAATCCTGCAGCGCCCACAAGGTCCCCCTGCTCAAGAAATCACATATACATGCCCGTCTGAAGTTTGCCAATGAACATCTGAATGATTCAGAGGACAACTGAGTGAAAGTGCTGTGGTCAGATGAGACCAAAATGGAGCTCTTTGGCATCAACTCAATTCGCCGTGTTTGGAGGAGGAGGAATGCTGCCTATGACCCCAAGAACATCATCCCCACCGTCAAACATGGAGGTGAAAATGCTTTGGGGGTGTTTTTCTGCTAAGAGGACAGGACAACTTCACCGCATCAAAGGGACGTGGACGGGGCCATGTACCGTCAAATCTTGGGTGAGAACCTTCTTCCCTCAGCCAGGGCATTTAAAAAGGGTCGTGGATGGGTATTCCAGCATGACAATGACCCAAAACACACGGCCAAGGCAACAGAGGAGTGGCTCAAGAAGAAGCACATTAAGGTCCTGGAGTGGCCTAGCCAGTCTCCAGACCTTAATCTCATAGAAAATCTGTGGAGGGAGCTGAAGATTCGAGATGCCAAACGTCAGCCTCGAAACCTTAATGACTTGGAGAAGATCTGCAAAGAGGAGTAGGACAAAATCCTTCCTGAGATGTGTGCAAACCTGGTGGCCAACTACAAGAAATGTCTGACCTCTGTGATTGCCAACAAGGGTTTTGCCACCAAGTACTAAGTCATGTTTTGCAGAGGGGTCAAATACTTATATCCCTCATCAAAATGCAAATCAATTTATAACATTTTTGACATGCGTTTTTCTGCATTTTGTTGTTGTTATTCTGTCTCTCACTGTTCAAATAAACCTACCATTAAAATTATAGACTGATCATTTCTTTGTCAGTGGGCAAACGTACAAAATCAGCAGGGGATCAAATACTTATTTCCCTCACTGTACACGTTAAGGCCACGTGATGTATCAAAGGCCCGCCGACAGGAGGTCACGGGATAGACCCAGGTTCCATGGGTTGACCGACTGAGATAGATGGCCGCTGCAACAACTGTGCCCCCCTACTGTGTCAACAGCTGTGACAAGTGCGCGCGCGTGTGTTTTTGTAACAGCATTGTTTGGCTATAGCGAGTTGGCAGGAGTGCATGAGCACGAATATACAAAAACACTCAACACATTTGTCATGAACTACTGTCTAGGGCCATCGCCCGATGCTTAACTCCTCACAAGGCTGTGCGACTCACGAGCGAGCATGGGATGGCACACGAGTCACGCGGCTTCACGGTGGACGCAGTCAACAGGGAGGAGGAAACCCCCACAGCCAATGGGGCATCCCCCTCGCAGTCCCAGCGGTCGCGACATGATGACGTCGACACCTGAGGTCACCCCCCCCCCTCTCTTTAATTGCGTCATCCACCCGCTTGTTGCCCAGTAGCGTCCTTCTCGAGCCTCCTCCACAGAAGCTGATCTAGAAACCGCTGGTACCAGTCATCGGGAAGTCCACTCAGCTCCACATCCTCCTGTACCACATCATTCCATCTCTTCTCTGGCCTGTGCTGCAACCCCACTATCTAGCCAAATAAAAGTTGTTTCGGCATGCAGTCGCTGGGCATGCGGGATACATGACCCAGCCAACGCAGGCTTCCCTGCCGGAGATCACCAATGGGACTTTGTCAAAATTTTTCAAGGATTTGTGAGCTCCTCACACAATCCAGCCTAGTTAAACACAGGATGATTCGTAAATGTTTCTGACCGGTGAACAGGTAGTTTCTACACAGCGTTACGCAGGCGATGAAAAGATAATGCCACTTGACTGATTCGGAGAGAGACCTCTGCTGTCAAACCAGAGCTGATCATGACCACACTGCCCAGATATGGAAAACTCTCCACCCTCTCCACAACTGCCCCATCACCAATGGGGAGTTGAGGGGGTGGAGTATGTGATGGAAAAAATGACCCATACACGCGCTTAGTTTTGGTGGGTCCAGCAGCAGTGATCCAACAACACATCCAACTCCTCCTCTGAGTGAGCAGCAATCACCAATTCATTAACATATGTAACATGTTCTTGGTTCTTTCGGTAAAGTCATCACGTAGAAGGGAAATAATAAGATAATAAAAATAAAACATAATAAAATACAATTCTCACGACGTTTCGGCCACAACGCAAGCAGCCGTCCTCAGGTGAAGAACAGGTCTGTCGGAAAGACAGCGTCTGAATGAACACCACCATGCTTGGCAGCATAAATTTAAGCTGGGTTAGGGGAGGAAGGGCGCCTTGACAAAGGAATTTGCATATCACCAGATGAATTTAGCATATTTATGGAATGCAGATATGGGATTAGTCACTACTTGTGGAATGTGTAGGAGGTGGGGGGGTCTCAAAGTCATATTACGCCCGCGCATTATGTAGGATTAGCAGCAACAAAGGGAGGAGGTAGGGTTAGCAGTGATAAAGGAAAGGAATTTTAATAGTAAGGAGCTGCAGCAGCCAAACCACCACGTAAAAAACTAAAATATAAACTACATCAATATCATCAATATACTAAATATACTCTCCAATAAGCTGAGCTACTAACAGTAAGTCATACATTACAATTCCATGTTGCAAAAAATAGAATATGCCTCCAGCTAAACTTTTTCCTTATTCACACGGATCTACCCCGTACTATATACTGTCATAGACAAACCCATAATTTAATTATATACTGCATTACTATATACCTTAGACTATACATTGTAATATTAGACTATGTATTTTTCTACCCACCCTCCTGTATACCACACTGCTTTATATTCACTATAAAATTGCAATACTATGTATTACCTTATTAATTATATTAAACATTACACTTTTATACTATTTATTATTATACAATCTTCTAAACCCTAAACCATTGCCCGTCGCGTGAAAGGTACTAAGAGGAAGCAACGAAATATGTCAATGGGAGAGTGGTGAAAGGGGACTTGCAGCAGAGCAAAGACTCCATTCCCTGCGGAGAATACAAAAGATATATAGTCAATGCCAGTGAGTGGACTGCGGTCTGAAAGTCACCGTAAACGTGACTCCCTGCTGTTTGCCCACCGAGCCAATAACGTTTGAATGGATGCGTTCCCTTACGTCATCAGCGGTCGAATTGACACAGAGTTCCATCACTGGTGTTAGAAACGCAATGTGGCGTTTCATTATGGGTGTTGGAACTGATCTGTTTAGATGGATCACTTGCGTTAGAATGGATGTCTTTCATTTTTGGCATATGTCGGTAAACCACTGGCGTTAGAATTCCACCATTTATTCAAGTTACAATAAAGGTGTTTGAGCACCCTTTTTTATGGGCGTAAGAATTGCCCTGTGTTACGTTGTGACTGTCATAATTGATGCCATTGGCGTTAGATTTTCTGCCTGCAGATACACTGATGGCATTCATATGCACGCATTTTATCCCCAGGGCATTAGAACTGCCCTGCGCAACAGTATCATTGGCGTTAGAACTCCGCTGTTCAACAGAGTTGGTGGCGTTAGAGCCCAGATCGTTGGTGAGATTGCTTCTGGCCACCCAGACATGGTGAGCGTTGGAACCTCGCTTTTCAGCCGAGCCAGTTGCGTTAGAACGGACGTCTTCCCTCTTGTCACTGGCGGTGACATGTGGAATTATCACACTCGCATTAGACCTGGTGTGTGTGGTTAAACCACTGGCGTTAGAACTTTCCTGTGTAGCCAATCCACTAGTGGCAGAACTTCCCTGTGTCGTCAGTCGTTAGCGTTAGAATTCCCATTTTCAGAATATCATTTGGCATTCTGAATACTCCTTGCTCTGCGACTCTGTGCTCTGACCGCTCATAGTGGTGGAACGAGGAGCAGCAGAAGGAGGAGGTGGGTATGGTGGAGGTTAAGAAATGCTCTCTAGAGAGAGGGTGGAGAGGGGATAGAGAGATGGTGGATAGAGGGGGAGGGTGGAGAGAGAGGGCGGAGAGAGAGATAGAGGATGAGAGAGAGATGGTGGTTACTGACTTTTAAATCACTTTTATTTTGCCACCAGTAGCAACAGCACTGGGGGCGATTTCGATACGAAATACACAGTCGCTATGAACAAATAACACAAAAACAATAGAAACACGCGCTGTGGCACTGGATTCACCGCGCACAACACAAAAAGTCACGTGGTGGTGGTCATCGCGCACGTCACGCCGACGAGCGAGCACTTCAGAAGATGAACATGAGGGTGCCGTCCACGCTGGTACAGAGGACTTTTCCGTACCCCCCCCCCCCCCCAGCGTTCGACGAAGACACGCATGTCACCGGAATGTGTGGGCTATGCGTGGTCTAGCTGGAGCCGCGCCTTGAGCAGGCCCCTGAACACTGGAAGCACAGAGCAGCCGTCAGTGTCACCTTGCAGCATCTTTTTTCTCGTCCTGTACACCGCCATCTTTGCTTGAGTTCAGACGAAGTTGGCGAGGTCATGGCGCTTGCTAGCCAGGTAAGGCAGGGGTCGGGAACCTTTTTGACTGGGAGAGCCATAAACGCCAAATATTTCTAAATATATTTCATCGAGAGCCATATAGTAATTTTTTTAACGTGTGATAAATTCAATGTGTCTTACTTTTAATGCGACTGCTGGTCACGGGACCCGTGACCCGAGAAATTTTATCTTCAAAAACTAATTTCTGTTTACTTGAAAATGACACAGTATTATTAAGCAATATCACAAGTATTTTAAAATCAGTTCCAAACTGATTTTATTTGTATTTTTTTATTATTATTTTTTTCAACTCAAAATTGTCTGGGAGCCATATGCCGTCACCGGAAGAGCCATATATGGCTCGCGAGCCACAGGTTCCCGACCGCTGAGGTAAGGCATCCTGTATACAAAGCTGCTGTTGTAGAAAGGGCACCCCCAGATACTGAAGATGTTCCCCAAAAGCCGGAACATTAAGTTGGGGAAGATCCTCCCTGGCACCGCAGAAAATGCACAAGTCTGTTACACGGCCGATGGCAACGTCCAGTGTGCCAATCTCCACTGGAGGTCACCATAGCGTTTGGCTATTTCCACTGGGGGTCGGCCACAATGAGGGGGGAGAAATTGTCTTTCCATTTTGTGTCCGGTAGGTCGGCGAGGTCCCGGGAATGCAGCGCCTTGACGCAGCTACGTGTAGAGCGCTTTCTTTTGGGCGCTCTTCAGGGGCACGTTCCTGCAGCCTCGGAGCTTCAGTAGCTCGCTGTGGCCAGGGGGCTGCGTGCAGGAAAAGCACAACTCTGGGAAGAAGGAGAAGAGGGGGGAAGGCAACCACCGTCCCCCGGAGCCTCCGAGAGAGGGGGGGAGAGGGAGGAGGCCGTGTGCTCGGTGGCAGATGACGGGGAGCTCTGCATGCAGTTATGAGCTACCCGTCAGAGGCCGTTGGACTGCGAGAAGGGCTGAGTGCAGAACTTAGAGAGAGCGAGAGAGTGAGCGAGAGAGTGAGCGAGAGAGTGACCGAGAGAGTGAGCGAGAGAGTGACCGAGAGGTGGGGGTTTACATAAAGCAAAGTTATTTTTAAAAAATTACGAAATGATGAACGAAGCAAAGTGCCGACGATACCGAACATCTTCTTGTTTCCACTGATCGTAAAAAAAGAGAGGGAGGAGAGGGATAGCGAGAGGGAGAGGGGAGAAAAAAGAAGATAGAGAGGATGGGGAGAAATAGAGGAGGGGAGAGAGAGGGGGGGGAGAGCGCAAATAGAGGAGGGGGGAGAGGGGGAGAGATGAGAGGGTGTAGAGAGAGGGAGAAAGAGCGGAGAGTGGGGGTGGAGAGAGAAAGGAAGGGGGGGGGGGGGGTTACAGACCAGCACCATCGAGGAGGTAGGGGGTTGTTTTTGCTGGGAAATGCACTCACA